ATGTATTTGTATTAATCAATGTATTTATTTTTGTGTTTTGTTCCTTTTTTCCCCCTTTTTCTCTAATTTTAAAAGCAGTGAATGAATGAATGAATGAATGAATGAATGAATGAATGAATGAATGAATGGATTCAACTGGCTGTGAAAATGAGCTTTAGTAAGAGGTGGGCAGGGAGGGACCTTATGAATCACTGCAAGCATTTCAACATCAACGGGTAAATATAAGTTCCTTTGTTCACTATATTTAAGTACTGCCCAAGTTGAGTTGTGTTTATTTTTGCCATAAGATAGAGTCCTTATTTTCTGTCTTGTTAGCATAATTTTGTCCCATCCCTTTCCAGCTCCACCCAAATTACTGCAATTCTCTCCTCTTTGATCATCCAGCATTTTTATGCCAAAACAGGTATCCTCTATTGTGACCTTGCTCCTAAATCACTTATTACTTCCTGGATTCAGTATAAATTCTTGACTTTTTATAGCTTCCTATGTCTTCCCCCCATTTCTACAGTTCTCTCTAGTACGTCCCTACTGATCATCTCTGTCAGCTCAACTGCCTCCTTATGCCCTAACATTCCATGTGGGCCCGCCTTATGGAATCTTCTCCCCCCAGAAGTGAGATTGGCCCCATCCCTCTTCACATTCCACAAGTCCCTCAAGACCTGGCTATATGATCAGGCCTGGGGCTTCCAGGGGACTGGTGAGATTTTATGATGATCCCTTATTAATTTTATCCTCTCCTGTTTTGTGTGTTTTTACAGTTTTTTTTAATGTGTAATTGTTTTTATGCATTTATTTTTTAATTATTGTATGCCACCCAGAGTCACCTTGTGTGAGATGGGTGGCTATATGAATATGATAAACAAACAAACAAACATTTACCTCCAGTTCAAAAGATACTTTGAAAGTACATCCCAGAATCCAAGGCCGCTTCTCTTAACATTATGAAATCTTGTTTCATAAGATATTTCAATAATGAAAATAACTCATTATTTTTCTACATAGCCATTAGCAGAATACAGTAGTTCCTGTGTCTTATTGAAATTTAGCTTGTAACTATACTCTAAGCATAACAACTACAGATTGCTATCCTGTTTACTTCTGCCACTACTTTCATCCTCTTCTTTTCCTGTATCCTCATCAAATTTTAGATTTGGGGTATGGCCCATCCTCTGGTGCCCTGTAAAGTACTATATATACTGACAAGCATACATTGAATAGCTAAGCTTTTAACAGAACACAATGCACACCTTTTCATATAATTTTAACAACCTGAATATGAATATTCCCCAAGCTACATTTTTTCCAACAATGGAATATAATTCATCACCCAACCCCCATTTCAAACACACCTGTGTAATGTTACCACCTCTTAATTAAAAATGGGTTTAATTAAAGATAAAACTTACAGTCGTTCTAGTTGTTTTAGATCTTGAAATGTTCCACGTTCTATCACGCTAATTAGATTCTCTTCCAAATGCCTATAAGAAAGAATTTCAGTAGCATTAAAAGAATAACCAGACTTCAGAGTTGGACATGTAAAATATTCTCCTTCCCTAAAAGTCAGTCTGTCACTTCTTCTCCAGAATGCAGATAGAGGCAGTGTCTTTTCAAGATTTATTTTTTCTTTTATATCTATTGACTATTATTTGTCTCATAACGCTCTATGACATGACCAGACTGGAGGTTATTAAATAGGGGATTATCCTATAACAAGTTACTTGGAAGTAACTCTGCCAATCATAGTGAAATTTACTTCTGAGTAGCATATATAGGTTTGTACTACACAGCACTACTCATTTAGCTTTGATATACCATATGTGGGCTCCAGAAATTCAGACAACCACCCAACCTAGCTATTATTCAGATTTTTGCAACCTACATAGTAATTTATCTGCATTTGCTACTTTAAAACAACTGGGCAGCCTTCAAAAACTTGCATCTAAATACGGAAACCATTTTCATTAAAAAAAAAAAAGCATTATCTTATGATACAAAATCCCTGGCAATTCATCAAGAAATTACTATAGAAATAATTCACAGACAACTCCATTTCAGATGGCATTATATGAATCAATATCCTTCTAGATTGCTGGACACATTGTAATAAAATTGTTACAAATTACCATCTCTGGTGGCAATGTACATTTAATTACTCATTTTGGTTGAAAAGTGTTTCAGGAAACTGCAAAATGCTACACAGCATTTTAATAATTAATCATGCTGTAGCTTTATTATTCATTTTTTTCCAGAACATATAAAATTATGCACATAAACATTCATTCCATTTTTCTTGTTAGTTGCTTGATGTACTATAACAAAATAGTGGAAAACTAAAGTATAGCTTTCTTTGCATCAGTAGCTTTTAAAAATATGGAAAATAGCACTGCCTGAAAAATTAACATACTGTAGCAGCAAAGAACCTTGAAGAATCCTTTAATTAAAGGTTGCATTATTCAAATTTTACTTCCACTTTTATCTATATAAACAAAATTATTTTAATAGATTATTTGGAGAGAAGTACTGAATATGGAGATTTAATATTATGTAGCCCTCCTTAGCTATACAAATATATTTATATATGCTCCCAAACTAGGCATGTATGTATGTGTGTGGTTTCTGTACAGCTTCCATTTCTTAGCTTTTTTTTTTTTTTATGCTGCCTTGTTGATCACTCCATAAATACAAAATATTTAAAAAGCCCTGTGTTTTAGTAACATCACCTGAGTGTTATCTTTTTAGGGGTACTACCCTAACCTGATAATAGCTTTCTCATGTATACAAATTATTCCTTGTTGCTGCCCGTCTGGCTTCACACCTGGATTTCCAGACACTTAACCCTTAATTCTGCTCTTAGGGAGACTTGGCAGAAGATTCCCAGACATGCCTCAGCTACATAGAATCTTTAATGCCGACAGAATGAAGCTATAACACAACACTTGATTGCTCACTGTAACACAAAATTTCAAAGCTTTCACATATCAGTGCTCCAACACTTACATTATTAAGTTGCTTCCTTCTGCCTTTCTGAGTTAACCAATACTTGGTGGTTCACTTGATGATCTTGGGCATCTGAAATATGTTTACCTCTCTAGCCTAGAAACCTCTCATTTCTGCCCTACCAGCTTCCCATCTTTACACTTCTATCTTTGTCTAGTCTGAAATTCTAAGCATATTTATTTGGTATCCAAACAAAACTACTGATCCAATATAACTTACATTAAATAAACTTACTTTGGGTAGAAGTGTTTCTGCATTTCCTTAGTGAACCTTCATCAGTGTGCCAAACCATTACTACACAATCACTTCTACCATAATGTTACTTTGGTATATCACAGCATTGTCTAGATTGTTTTCCTTCCAATGAGGTCTTGTTATGAATAATCAGTTATGCTTCTTTAATAGACAATGGTACTGAGATGAAGTGAACCTCATTCTGTCAAGATATCCAGGCAACATTATGGAAAAGTAAACAGGTATTTATCAAAATCAGGTGAAATAGTTATCAATAGTGTCTGAAATGAACCACTAGGATATAGGTATAATTCAGTATATGCTGCATAGTTAGCCATGTGTTAAAGACAAGCAAATCAAAGTTTTGCAAACCGACAACACAGAGAAATGGCTTTAGGGGAACATTTCTTCATACTCACAGAACACGAAGATTCTTAAGCCCAGCAAAGTCCACCTTTGTAATCCTTGTAATATTGTTTCTGTCTAAGTCACTGCAAAAACAGAAATTCAAAATTGGCACATGTATTTGCCAGGCACTACAATCATTTAAAAAATATCACAACAAGAGTATCAACTAGCGAATACCCACTCTGCGTAGGAAATGACAGACAAGACTGAAGACACTTGAGTAACATTGCAACTTGGAGTAAGAAGTGCCCCCACGACTTACTGCATTTTCCTTTTTGCAGCTCTAGCATTTGCTCTATCTAGTGACAAGCATACGGCAACTTCTTAACTTTTAGTTAAAGGTGCAGAGCCAGAACAGGACAAGAATTAAAATCTCACCATGGTACAGAACTCTCTATAGCACATTCTACCATTATGATTTTTAAGGTACCAGATCAGAGAGATCATACCTTGCTGCCTCTTCATGGAGATGGTTAGATTTTTCTAATTAGTGGCAGAATCTGGAAAACATTCACACGCCTACATACAAACAAGCCTACATACAAACTTTCAAACAATACTAATAGCCTTATGCTTGATTTTCAGAGCAAAGGTTTGAACTACCACAGTTTCAAATATGTGTAGAAGTAACCTGCAAAATCATCAGGAAAAAAAATCTGAAACTACTGAACATGGCCACATGACTACATCCCACTCCCCATTGAGTCTACTAATTCCTGCTTATTCTCGTATTATATTTTGCAACCGGAATACTAATCACATGCCACATACATTTCTTGCTTTTACCTTCATACTTCTGGAGATATTAAATTAGGAATAAAGCTTGAAAAACAAACCATATGTATATGAGCATTATTTTATTTGCAGACAGCAACATTATTTGCATTTTTAAGAACCTTTGGGGAGTTTCTTCTCTACATTCTTTTCAAAATTGAAGCAAAAAAGGTATTGGCGTAATGTAGTATGAGTAGCTTTTGCTAACAAATATTGTATCTATATAAAATTTTAAGAACTAATGCTGCAAAGTCATACAAATTCTCTTGTGAAATCATATTCCTAACAGTCACACAAGGAGAAAAAAGACAAAAATGTCAACCCATGGATGCTTTCCCAGATATACATCCCACTAAATTTGTAGGTGTTCATTCTAGGATTTTGGTCTTAATATACAGGATATCTGCAAGCCTTCTATCCTAATTGGCAAAATATATCATGTATGACTGTGATCAAATACAGAACTTGAAGATGTAGTATTCTAGGCCCTTTTACTTGATTTTAGCTAGTTTCCTTTTAAAATCATGATGGATGGAGTTTCCCTTGAAATCAGAGTGAATTTTTAAGCAGGGTCTATGAGAGAAGGATTTAGATCTCAGAGGGAAAATCCAGAAGCGCTTCCACACTCTTTCTATAAGACCCATCCTATAACTTCAAGCATCTTTTCCTTGGCATATTATTCCCATCCATTTTTTTTTTAATTTGTGGGAGGATGTGAGACAGATACCCATCAAGTATAACAAAAATAATGTGAAAGCAGATAGGAACACAAACCACTAAACTAAGCTGGAGATTCTGTAATAGAAATTTAAGATACTAAATAAATGAAATAAATCAACCTATATGATTACTCTCTATTCCCTACTTCAACAGGAATTGGCCTTGAACTGCCTGGCTCTTCCTCTCCTTTCATGACTAAATTTGACATCTGACAACTGACAAGCCAACATGTGAAAAGCCAGTCATAAACATCCAGTAGGACATTTTCTCTTGTTTATCACATTTCATATGGCTTAATAAAAAAAACCAGTGTAAGCCATACATCTTTGAGAGACTTCAATTAGCCTCGTTCAGTCTTCTTTTACATTTGGGTCTGGCTGTATTAGAGAGAAAAAGAGAACCTTTCATGTGCTGTTAGATCTTCATCAACCCAGTTACATCTGAAGAACGTTATTTAATCAGTCATCATGTCTTGCCATGCATGAGCAAAGAGCTGAATTAGCTTTGGTGGTGGCTGAATAGTATACCACCACCAGGACCTAGTAAGAAAACCACAGAATTTTGAAAGTCTCTGACTAGGAACCACTGTCTTCTTCCATAAATATTCCTCTTCACCTTTGCTACATATTATTTAATTCCATCAAAGTGAATTTCAAATCCTGTCCATCTTTGATACATCATCACTTCCCTGCATTTAAAACCCATTTACTGCCTCCAGGGTGGTTCTCCTTCCACCAGACAGTTATCTTATAGACTAAACTATTTCCCCCAGAATTTCTTACAAACTTAGGAATCCTGCTGAATGCCTCTTTCCTAGATCTACACATTCCCGCATTCTTCACTATCAAAACATGAGTCCCAGGCTGCATATGGTCAAAAGAACAGTTCTAAAAGCTCCATAATAATCTGAAATAATCTACGTTTCCCACTTTTCCTCAGACACTTGACAAAAGAGATGGAAAAGGGAGCAACTGGAATGGATTAGGACCCCATTCCCTTCAGTCCACTCACTTGGATAACACTGAAAAAAAGGAGGCAACTCATTCATAGGATGAAATGAAGCCATATGAAGAAGAAACCCAGCACAGCTTGATGTGGTCCTGAGTTTCAAATACTTGCCCATTTGCTGTAACAAGCTTGATGTTTCTAGTCTCTGCATTTAAAGGCTAGTTATCTCTGCTAGCTTTAACCTGAAGACAAAATGTATTTTGTCTCTCCTGTGTACTGGCACTCTCTCAAACAAGGGCCTCCCAGATCCTTAAGGCTTCAGATATTTGATCACCTTTTCTAGAGAAAATATTCCTTTCACCTCTCCAAGCTAATAACACTTCTCTGGGACTTGGTGTGCACCATCTGCTTTTGGTTTCCTGAGATTCCAAGACTGGAAGAAGGACCTTTGAAAGACACATATGAAAATAATCACAAGAATATCAGTGAACACACAACTCTTTGATTATATATTTATTATTGGTTTTAATATTTGTGTAGAGTTGTATCCTTTCATTTCCAAAAGAACTATGAGCAGTTATGTATGGCACTCTGGTTGTTCCCTCTCCTGACCCAATTAACTTTTATAGTTGGTTTGAATAATATGATTTGAATGATTCCATTGATGTACAACAGTCCATAGGCTCTATCTGGTCAGATTAATACTCCACCCAACAAAAAAAATGATCTTCATACATGAGCTGAAATCATATGTCACCTGACAATCATTTGTTCCAGCCTCATCAGAGAATCTGTCCTGCAGACCATCCTAGGACTAGAGAATGCTGAACAGTGCCCTCTGCTGGGTAGTCTGTTCAAAAACACATTTTAAGCATCCAAAGCTGTTTGAGCTCATGAACCTGAAATAACCTACCTGAGAATTCATGATTTGCAGTCAGTTGTATATGGTGCATTTTAATCCTGTTCTTGATAAAGTATTCAATTTGCAAAATTAGCTGGACTTTTGGTGAAAACAGTTGGTGTTCTCTGATTTGCAGAACTGGATATTACCAAGTAATTGTGTGATGACAACAAAAAAATGAAAACTTTTCAGTGACAGATTCATTGACATGTACAATGTGTTATGTCACAATTTTGACAGCTATTTTTTTTTTAAATGATACCAAACCAGATTTTTTTTAAAAAATCCATTCAATCGTGTCTGAATCTCAGAGACTGCCTGGACTATCCCTGCAGTTTCCTTGGCAAGGTTTTTCAGAAGTGGTTTGCCGTTGCCTGCTTCCTAGGGCTGAGAAAGTGACTGGCCCAGGGTCACCCAGCTGGCTTCGTGCCTAGGCAGGACTAGAACTCACAGTCTCCAAGGTTTCTAGCCTGGTGCCTTAACCACTACACCAAACTGGCTCTCAAAACAGAATATAGAACTTGGTTAAAACTATAAAGAAAAGAGTTTCTTCTTGGGGGAAGGAATTGTATTCCAAGCCAATTATTTATGTATGTATGTATTCATTCAATTATTCATTTGGACCTGACACTACAGTGGCTGGATATCATAGACATCATTATCAGCATTTCCAAATGTCTTCAAAAGTATGCAAATTGTGATTCTCTGACAGTAGTTATGCAAGATGAAGCAACAAGAGTTCATAGACTTCTTTTGGCTATGTTTGTGGGGAATCTGATCACCCTTATTGGGAAAATTTAAAACTAAAACAGAATTGTTGGTGAAAGGATTACATAACATTAGTTACATAGGCCAGGACTAATGAGAAGAAGGCAGAGGAGGAGGAGGAGGAGGAAGGCAGCTGGCTAAATTGTGAAGGAGAAAAAACAGAGTAAGATTTTGAAGGCACTGCAGAAAGTTAGAATTACCAATGTTAATAGTTAATGGTGAATTAGAAAACAAAGACGTTTGTACTGGTTGCATTGCTTATCAAAATGAGTATTAAAACAAAAAATTGTCTATCCAGATAGAAATTTAAAATCAGAGTCCATATGTTTCAAACACATCGCGTTAACTTTGACTTGTAACTATTAATCGAAATAAGCCACAGGTAGTCATTAGCACTTTGTCTAGCATATCATCTCTAAAGGTGTTTGAAGGAAGAAGCTTTTAAATGTGAAAAATATATTTTGTAACTGTTGAAAGATATAACATCATCACCAATGGCTTTAAAACCAGATCATTTTGATTTACTTCACAGTAAATCAAATAGTAGACAGGCAGCTTTCTAGTAAGATCAGATTGCTCTGTAAACTGAGCCTTGGTCATGGTAGCAATAGAGAAAATGAGAGCCTTTTATAATCAGGTTCAGGGGGCAACTGAAGAACATTCTTAGTAACAGAAATACTTGGTGTTTTATACACTGACTGGTGTATTCAAGGCAAAGTGTTTATTTGATAATATATCTGATAGCGAAGTAGTAATGTCGGTCTCCAGATGTGAATGAACAGCAATTCCCAGCATCCCTCAGGTTGGTCATGTTGATTAAGGACCTTCGAGGACCTGAAATTCAATTTCTACAGGGCCCCCGGTTGCTCATTTCATTTGAATGTAATGGCTTTTTAACAAGTTAGCACTGTTTTATGCATCTGTAGGGTTTCCTAATTCCAGCAACACTATAACCAGCAAAAGACTGGTGAT